AAAAAAAAAAAGGATCATTCTAACCTGCATGCTTCACCCCCTATAATTCGTCAAATTCATTGACTTTTGTCAATTTGGGTCCAAGTGGCTATTGTGTGCAGGGGCATTTTAGTCTCTTTAAGCTATCAGGATTGGTCTTTTGATTTATTAGTAAATTGCAAATGTGTTTGAATCAGCAGCAAATATATAAAATTGTGTTTAGTTTAAAAAATCTCTTGCTTTGACTATTATTTTTTTTCTTCCATAAAGTTAGAATAGTACACTTGAAATACCATATTATAAACTTAATATAACATTATTTAAAACACAAAAATACATTGAATTTAACAACATAATCTATTTTTTCAATCTGATGATGTGGCGTGGATAAGTGCGATTATAAATTTTTCTCAAGAAAAAAGCCAAATAATCATTGCAAGACAAGAACTGATTTGTGACCAACTGGATTGAATTCTCTGACCACACCCAGATGGCATCAATCATGCCACCGCACATGGTATTGTCTATTTTTTTTTTTACCTCTGACCTAATAATAGACAATAATTTTAGACTCAGCAGGCAATTGTAGCATGACAATTGACAGAACCACATTGGATAAGGCACAAATGTCCATGTCAACAATTTTGAATTCAAGATAAGAGCATTTGCACAATTGCTTTCAATTTTAGGATTTATGTGAAACCAAATAGTTGAGTGATCATAGAATACTAGGGTACTACCGTTATCAGGCAATTGTAGCATGACAATTGACAGAACCACATTGGATAAGGCACAAATGTCCATGTCAACAATTTTGAATTCAAGATAGAGCATTTGCACAATTGCTTTCAATTTTAGGATTTATGTGAAACCAAATAGTTGAGTGATCATAGAATACTAGGGTACTGCCGTTACATGGTATATCTTGTATACGTGTATTGATATTATTTCTTACACGTGTACAAGATGTACCACGTGAGCATACTACTATAGTATTGTATAAATACAGGATCTAAAGTGAAAACACATGAAATTTAAAGGGTGTTTTGTGTAAATAATTCAACTAATTTTCCCAAACACCAAATGGAGGGCTTTCCATCTTGTTTTTGTCACATCAAATGCCACAAATTTATAATTCATGAAAGAAACCAACTAAGTTTTATTTTAGTAACACTGAGGAATCTCATGGCATTGTATTTACAACAGCCTCATCTGCAGGATAATAGGTGAGGAGGATACCATATATTACCATTCTTCTGACCCTTTACATTAGAAGATATATTTACATCAGGAAAAAACATATATAATTACATGTTAAACATTGCTTGTAACATTTGTTTCAATGTTTGAAACCTTTGCATTTTTTTTCAACCATATACAGAACAAATTAGAACAGGGCAGGGCAGGAATGTGTGTTCTTACGCTGGGCAGTGAGGTTATGTAGGCCTTCAACAACTTGAACAATTGAAATCTTGAGCATCAACAACATTATAGTACAAGGAAGACAATCTGCCATCAAATTTTGAGACCACTTGATGAGAAGATAGACCGCAGTAACGCTTTCCTAGCCGGGCGATACATATCGAAATGATCTTCCTGAACATGGAATCCTCTTGTATTAGTGGTTGCTCCACAAACTCATCCAGGGGCATCCACTGCACATTAATGGCACAAGCTCTAAGTTCAAGCAATCAACAAATCCAATAATGTTACCTGAAAACCATGTTTGGTGCAGATAAAAAAGAAAATAGTACTGCATTTAGCTTATGGCCACAAATCCCATTAATTCTGTTGATCCTGGTTACCAAAACTATATGAGGAATGAGAAATTATTAGTCTCTTAAGCAATGCCAAAAACCAGAAGTTTGTAAAGCTGCTCAAGCAGGTAGCAACCAGCTCATGGCTGGGGCATTACGGTTAATTTTCATAGCTTGCCTGTGGTCCGACATTTTATTGTCATCCTTAATTTACTAGATAGTCCTGAATGTTTTTCCAGTTTTTTCTTGTAGAAGACTAGAAAAGTACATTAAATACAAGTTTATCAGATGTCCCCGAAGGGACGAAGACTAGAAGTACATTGATACCATTTTATCAAGAAAGAAGACAGAGGGCAATGGGAAAGAGTGGAACTAGCAAGCAATTATATAATCTCTCCAACTAGTTTTCTTGTAGATAATTTTCTGTACTTTTCATTTTTATTTTCTACACCCCTATTATAGCTTTGTCATGATAGCCGGATAGGCCAAAGCTGTAGAAACTGAAGCCATTAAAAATGGTGCTAAGCTTGTATTCTGTGAGTGTACAAATTTACCTTGGCTGCTTCAATTTCAAGATCATCAACTGTAATCTCAGTCGATAGTGGCCGTAGCATGCAGATAAAGAACAAATCTGACTTCTCAAAAGCTACATTGTGAGCATGCCTGGAGTTGAAATTAAAGAAAATATTAGCTGCCGTCTGTTGAAGGAAATCAGTACTCAGAACTTATATGAAGTGTCCCATTGCACCGGTTTCAACTGCTTAATTTACTTATCGAACGCTTTTCCCTCTCAAATACACAGCATTCTTTGTAAACAAAACGATGCTTACGATATGTACTCACTACGGTTTTTCATAATGTTACAGTTGGAAAGAAAAAAGTGTATGCATTGCAAAATGTAAACAAAATATAATCATCTTCTGTCACATGTCTAAGTGTTGTGAATAACAATTAGATATGATTATTACCTGAATGCTATAACCTCAACGAACTCTGTATCGATCTGCAATTAAAACAAAATGCAGCTAACAGTATTAGAAGAACATGATTGGATAGTAACTACTTTGCAAGAATAAATTCGTGCAATCTAGATGGAATTGAACCTTAGAAGAAATATTATGTACCAAATTCTTACCCCGGTTTCCTCCTTAACCTCTCTCACAGCGCCTGTGAAAATCTCTTCCGACTGATCCCAAAGGAAGAAAAATATAAGTAGGCAAAGAATTAGAAAAACATGATCTATTGCAGTATCAAACTTGGATAACATACCTCAAGGATAAAGCCGGTTGGTATTTTCCAAAAACCAGCGCATGCAGGAGCGTAGTGTTTCTCTTGTACAACAAGAACCTGCAATTTGTCATCAGTTCAATAATGCTGCATTTAATCAAAGGGCTTAAACAAGTTTATCAAAGCCAATTAACTAAAGATAAGTGCAGTGCACATTACTAGTGGTTATACCGTATAAATATTTTCTTCAGTTACAATTATTGGAATACAAACACGTCAGCCAACTTGCACGCACATTTTGGGATCGTTTCACTTCCTAGATTCAGCAAGATTACTACTTAGTCTAGTCTGTCTGAAAGATACAGAACCAAAGATTTAAAGAATCTATCGCTGACTATGTTGAAGTCATGGCATTTAGGTTGGTTACAAAACGACTTAGGTAGGTTTCTTGCATCCAATTAAGTTTAGGAAGAAAAGGAATACAAACACGTCAGCCAACTTGCACGCACATTTTGGGATCGTTTCACTTCCTAGATTCAGCAAGATTACTACTTAGTCCAGTCTGTCTGAAAGATACAGAACCAAAGATTTAAAGAATCTATCGCCGACTATGTTGAAGTCATGGCATTTAGGTTGGTTACAAAACGATTTAGGTAGGTTTCTTGCATCCAATTAAGTTTAGGAAGAAAATTTATGAGAAAGCTACCTCATAAGTTTCATACAAAGATTAAGAAAAGTGGCTAGTTGTGTATCCCAATTTTGAATTTATTGTTTCTTTCTCACATTATCAACAGAGCAATTTATACCTCATTATTTTCATTGATGACAAATCCCCCAACCCCTACTTGATGTGAAGCATTAGCAGGAAGCATGCAAGGTCCTTCTGGAATCCAGTATGTCAACATCACGTACCCTCGTTCTGCATGGTGGTACTCAAACCCTTCCTGAAACCGGATAGATTACATCAGATAATCACAGTACACTCGGTAAATAATCAAAACAAAAGAAAGGAATATAATTCTGCAAACCCGAATTACTTGTTCTGTGAACTTTCTTCATTCATTCACCTTCAGCTCATGAAACTATGGTTTCGTATCGTAAATCCTTTTATACAGAAGTTAGTAAGGTACCTTAATAGCAACTGGAACAAGCTCAGCTCTTTCTACTGGCAGCTTTAGCCAAATTCCCTTCTTCCCCTGCAGTCAAATGGAAATTACATATTACATCTCCTAATAGTATCAATTATATTATAAGGGAAGGGAACAGACATAAGGCTCGTATAAATTACAAAGATCAAGGATACATAAGCAGCAAAACCATTACCAGACAACAATGTTAATTTAAAAGGAGGGATCAGAAAATCAAAGGCTCTCCATGTGACTAAAGTTTATAATTATCACTTTCCTAGCAAAAAGGTGAGGTACCATATTGTGTGGCATAGGCAGAGAATGAGAATATATACCTCCATGCTCCAATGAGAAAGAGAAGAATGCAGGATATAGCCAAAGGCATTCGGGTTTGCTGGTAATCGTTCTGGATCAACGATAACTCCCCCGTACTCATCATCGAAGGCATCAAGTACTGTAATTTCTCTAGGAAACAAATTCGGTCTTGTCCCTGTGCCATTTGTTCCAATTATTTGAAACAAGCAAGTTTCCCCTGCAAGTTTATCTCCAACTGAACCAATAGCGTTACTTGACGGAAAGTTATTTTTCGAACTGGAAGGATGAGAAGAATAAGAAGCCTTCAGAAGAATCCCTGGAAAGGAAATGAAAAACTTGAGAATTAAAAATATAAAAAATCCTATTTTTCTGTCTCCTTGTTTTTGTTGTCTGAAAACAATTACCTCTGCAAGAACAGAACTGGGGAGAGAATTTGGCACCAGCTGGTATGTGCCTGAAACCCGCAAACCGGTTCGAATACATCCGTCCCAACTGAACCGTCTCAGATGCAGACATAGCTTTCGATTCAAACAATCTCATCTCCATTACAGACAGTAAGCAAATCCCAACTAACTTAAACTAAGCACAGCCGTACCATCCAATGAAATCAAATATATGCTGAAATATAACACGACCTCCTTAACTTAGACCAATTAACATTAATTTAATCATAACGAGAATATCCCAACTCCCATCACACGTAACGCTCTAGAACAACAAGAAAACCATAGGATTCGACGCCAGTCGGAGTGAACTAGAACTTGGTTGCTTGCACGGCAGAGTAAGATTGTAAATTGTAATGGCAATGGAGAGCCAGTTAAGAAAGCAGATTAAGACAAGAAACCAAGGGATGATTAGGCAGTATCTGATCTGAAAAGCAGTGATTAACGTAGTCGTTTTAGGACCAAGGAACCAGCTCAAAAAATCTAAATATCTTTCATTGTTTCACAGTTAATTTAATGCGATGGAGAAAACGAGGGAAGTGAATAAAATTTTATATAGCAGCACAAATTTGAAGACCAAACGCGTTAAAAAGAAAAGGCTTGGAAATGCCAAATGGAGACAGACAAACACATGAGGACCTAATTTGGCACAAACCCGAGTGAGGACAGCCAATAAAAACCATGTTTATTGCATGAATCTTATCTGAAAATCAACAAGAAGAAACAGAAGTGGGGGTACGTGGATATATATGTTTGTTTACTTTATTTTTGTGGTGTGGAATTCGTGGTGCGGTCGTGACATGGCAAACAAGCACTGGAGCAAAAGGAATTTGTTGAAACAAAAAACAAATGTGAAATTGAATAATTTGATTTATAAAATATGGTGAGAAATTTGTAAAGTTGACAAAGCGACATAATAGTCAGGTGGGAACTAACTAGGACTACTCACGGGGGAGAAATGTGGTTGAAAATGAAGCATATAAAACTTGGAGCGGATACGTTGCACTATGTTTTTGACATAACTTTTGACACAATTTTTCAATGCATTCAATGGTTGAAATTAAGTATTATTAATCTTAATTCTTTAATTAATTAAATAATAAAATATTTTTTCTCTCTCTTCCTTCATGTTAAGGAGATTTTCATTATAAATTTGACGGAAAAAAGAAGAAGTTGTAGATTACGAATCTTTAACCACACAGTATTTCGGCAAATCTTGTGCTGTAGGTGTAGTCGAAGAAAAGGAACCCACAAATACTATTTAAATACCCAACGATTTTAGAGACACATGTTTAAGAGTCTTGGACAAGTTGTATGCTTGGAGAAAAGGAGCCCAGAAATACTAGTCCTGCTAAGTACAGTGCCATTGGCACCAGCAAGGTTAAACTTGAAGATGGGATGCTAGCAAACTTAATACTTTCTCCAAAATAGTTTCAATTTTTTTAAAAGATAAGGAAAGAAAGAAACTGAGAGAAAAGAGAGAAAAAAAATGATTTATTGAGAGAAATTTACCCACGGATCCGCCCATATAAAATTGTGTCAAAAATTGTGAGAAATTTATTGAGAGAAATAATCTAATTGTGCAAAAATTGTGTCAAAAACATAATTCCACGGATCCGCCCATATAAAATACGGATATATATCTTCAATATTACATTTTGCAAACCTATGATTTTGGGATATGTAACATATTTGTTTATATATATATTTAAAGTTTAGCAAAATGAAGCATATGGTTACAGGTATAATTAAATTATTGGCCTCTTCATTGGTCTGACTATTAAGTTAATCGTTATCGTTTAATATGAGATTTGGTTGGTGAGACGTACGATTTTTTCTTTACATGGACACCGGATTGATACCACGTGGAACTAACGTCTATGTAAACAGAAATTCAGTTCACCCAGTGCTATGCGAGAGGTGGTTCCATTTGAACCTCTAATATCATCTCAAACCAGAAATTTCATCTCAAAACCAGAAATTTTCAGATTTACTTTGGTCAGAATCTTTAGGTAATTCATTTTGCTTTTGTGTAAAGTAGTTCATTCCCATTAGAGCACGTGATTTTCACGGACATATTTGTGAAGTGGACTAGCCAAAGGTCTGTTCATACTTCATCTTTCACGTGAGTCGGAAACCAAAAAGTTAAAAAATATAAACGTCATAATCGAGATTGTCCGCACTAATTATAATCAGACAGGTCATCACCAAACTTCATGAGGTGAGTGATTCCTCTTGTCGAGCCCCATAAGGATAGAAGGGATGGGAGAAAAAATATCATTCCTAATCGGATTATAATTTAGTAATGATATTTTAAATATCATTAAGATGTTTAAAATATATTCTTTAGTGGAAAAAGAAAAGAAGATATTTGAAATTGGTCACTTTTAGGATCAATCAAAGTCTAAAATATCGAGAATTTCGGAAATATCGGTGGTCCAAAAACATGGATATAGCAAAAAAATATCGATATCGATAAAAATTGAATAAAAATCATAATTGTGAGAAACACTTGGAAATTTTTATTTAAACTTTAGAGGACGTTTACTTAGTCAATTATCTATTATTTGATCACAAAAAATTGGAAGGAAATGCATGGCAATGGTGGGTTTGAGTGATTTAGTTGATTATGTAGCGACCCGACAAACACTGTGACTTTAGAAAATATGTAGTAATTAGTGAAATAAAATTAAACACACCATAATTTTTAAGTTATAATAATTTACTACAATATATTACACTTCATACATATAATAAGATATATAAGCTTGACCAAAAAAACAAAGATAAAATATATGAGTAATTTAGTACCACATAGAAAGAATTCCTATTACGTTCAAACTTAGTATCGCACAATATTAAAACTCAATAGTGAATAATAATACAACTCCATGATATATAACCCAAAAAAAAAAATACAACTCCATAATATATAACCAAAAAAAAAAATACAACTTCATAATAATATAATAAATAACATTAAATATATGCCTAAATTTATCCTTAGAGAATTTTTTATATATGAAAATTTATCCTAGATAATATTGACTGTATGGGAAATTATCGTCTCCGACATTATCCCGATAATATCGGGGAGACTCTGGGATCAATCAATAATTTTAGTTGTTTTGTTGTGATAGAGAGTAATTGTAGGACAAAGACACTTTTGTGGGCCTTGTGGTTTTGCTTGTAGTCGTGCTCGTGGGATCATGCTGGGGTATACCCTATTTAATTCTCTGTGTTGATATTTTCTTCATACGAGCTATTTTGAGTGACTGAAAAGTTGAACATAAGACTTCATGTGTATAGATGAACCGTGATTCGTAAATATTCTCAACTAATTACTTCAGCTATAACCCCTTTGTTTTTTTATGTTAATAATTTGATGTCGGCCAAACTAGCAGTGTTTTTAATCATAAACACAATATCAGCATAAAAAATATATCAACAGAAGATAATGGAACATTTGAGCCATACTGATCAAATCAACCCCAAAACTCATCTTCGAAACGATAGAGAAACAGTGGGAGATTAAAACTTTTATTGATATTTTATTTTGCATTATCAAGCTCTGTGTCCATCAAACCCATACAACATAAGGAAACATGATCAAGAATAAAGGAAAGGAAAAAGATCAAAATGGTCACAGTGAGAGGGAAACTACAATATCCAAAAGTACACCGGAAAATGACTTAGAGTGTGTAATGTGGGTTAACTTCGATATCTAAACCCCTTAGCTTTGCAAAGGACTCGACCTTCCCCTTCAGAGTGTGAAGCTCCCTCAGTCTGCATTGCAAAGAAAGAGCAAAACCAAAGTTAGGCAACACACAACATGGCCTAGACACGTAATAACCTAAGATGCTTTTGTTGTCAGACGGTGAATCTAAATTGTTGATTATGTTGATTTTTGTCTGAATGTGCAATCTAGATTCATAGTCTACAAATATAAGCAGTTCTTTGGCAACATAATATTTCTCATGTTTTATATATGCTATTGGTATATGCAGAAAACTTGAACCATCCAACGCAAAAAAAAGGCCAACCTTGCAATCTCTGCACGTCTCCTGGCTTCTTCAGCCATGATGCTAACGTCCCTGAATGTGTGCCTCTCAGGGATGTTCCTTGGCTCAGATGGGAGGCCATGAACCGTTCGCTGTTCAGCAGCCCATGCAGCCTCACGAAATTCTTTACCAAAGTCCTTTTGGGTGTTGAAAGCCGTCTGCAAAATTATAGACATACACATAAATGTGGAAATTCTCTTAGAAAGGTCTAATGAGAAAAGTAAGTCCAAAAGTTTTGTTAAAATCTACAAAAGGAAGCCTAACAGAGGAACATGGCAAACCAAGCACATATTTTCATTCATTCTTGATGTCTAATGCTCAGAGAAAAAGAAAATTGTGTCATGAGATGGAAGGTTCAAATTCACTCACTCTTTTGTTCAATATCAAACTCCATGCCCTCCCACTGAGCGCATATCGAACAAAAAACTTGATAGGATCAAGTAGCATATAGATGAGAATGTTGTATAACCATATGATTCCACACCAACGCCAGCCGATGGCTCGAATTCGAGCAAATTCCCACGTTGCTTGAGCAGATATTGCTGTTGCAACCTGTAAGCATGGAGCGTTTCGTATTATGAATTCAAACCGTTGTAAGTTTAGTATTGTAACTAAAGTTTTCTGAACAAAAGGAAGTTTAAAAGAGATATTCCACGCATAAATTTTGATGAATGTGAAGCATTATTTGAGCCTAAAGAATTTCTACCTAATGTTATATATTGAAAGCTTTTCGATTGAAAAAGGATGAAACCGTTTACCAGTTGAGCAACTATGAAAGCAATAACAAGAAGAAGACCAGGTCTTTCTGTGAATGACCACCCTCTGGAGCGAGTGACAAAAATTAGAGCCTGGCTGATGGTGCTAACTTGAAGGTACACGGCAGATGCTAGCTTTGCATTTAGTGGCTCGTTGAGACTCTCATTTTCATAATAGAGCGGCTCGTTGAAGATATCATCTGCTTTGAATTTTTTCTGAGAGAGAGAGAGGTTAAAATCTTGATCATTGTCATCCAGTACAAAATGTAAGCCCTGACAGTGTTCATCTATGCCAAAGGCAATAACCGTGAAATGAACCAAATGCAAGTTTACACATGCAAAACTGAGAAACTATTAAAATCAGGGACTACTAGGATTTCTTTTAGGCTAGAAGCGCCACTAGGATCTGAAGACAAAAGGACAAAGAAAGTTCTATGATGCCATATCAAACTACCTTTGATACTGAAAATTTAAGCTTGTAGGCTATGGGCTAAACAAGGTATCAGCAAAACATAGAAATAGTAACAGTAAGATAAGGAACAATTAATAGACTAAGAGAAACTAACTAATATAATTTCCCCTTGCAAAACTTCAGAAATTTAAAATTCTGCATTTTTTATCTGGATAAATCAACGGGATACTAGGAAAGGATGCACAATAATCATGTTTACCTGAAAGAATTGAGTTTCGTAAGTGATATAGAAGAACACAACTGTCGTCACGGCGAGGTAACTGCCTAAGACAATCCCAGTTGCAAATATTTCACTGAGCTTCCAACTGTC